CAAACAGAACGGCGCTCGTAACGTCAAAGCCATAGCCAGCAGCCATGGCGCCACCGTCGGAAGAGTACGCGTAGCCCAAGACGTTGGCTGTCGAGACAGCCATCGGAACAATGTTGTGGCCCGTGATCATCGTGCTGATCGTCGCGGGCGAGCGAAAGATGCCATCGCCCTTCGAGAGGAGGAACTTGGAGAAGATCGCGAGGTCCGCCGCGGTGGAGATGATCGAGCCCGATGCGTCGCGCCCGTTCTTGTACCCCAGTGCAATCTCGGGCGACGACCGCAAATGATACGGTCCAGCCACCTTGCCGTTACAGATGACGTGGCCGAACGAGAGGTCGCCATTCGGTGGCACGTCGGGCACCGATGCAAACGTATTGGTCATTTGAAGCGGCTGGAAGAAGGTTGTATCGAGGTACTGGGCCCATGTGGTATTTGTCTGGTACGCAATGACTTGGCCAAGGATCACAAAGTTCAAGTTGGCGTACGCGTAGCCGGGACGGAGACGCCGGGTCGTCTGGAAGCGGCGCAGCGACCGCACAAGCGTCTCCTCGTCCGTGTACAAGCCCAAGTTTAAAGCAACGTCGCCTTCGTAAGCACCAAACACCGAGTTCATGGCCGCAAGGTCGCCGAGCGTCGTGTACTTCTCCGCGTACTTGTCGACAAGCTCAAACCACGGAAGGCGGAGCTTGACCGGGTCGTCCCAGCTCAAGCGGCCTTCGTCGACCTACGACAGTCGGTTGGTAGCCATGAGGACACTAGCAAAGGACCACTGTTTCAGCAAGGTACGTACAAGCTTGGCAATTCCCAGCGCAATAAACGTCTTGGTAAACGACCCAATCTGAAATTGCGTGTTTTCAGTCACAACATTCGAGTCGTTGCCGTACTAGAAAAGCAGAGGTTCATGAGAGACCGCGTCCTTGCTACATAGTTGGAGCAAGTAGAACGTACTTGCTTGGTACCAAAGCCGCGGGTGAGGACAGTCTCGTTTTGGTAGACGATCGAGAGTGCAAAGCCCGGGACTGCGTGCTTCTGGAGTTGGTCTTCAACAAATGCGATCGCCATCGCCTTCTTCTCGTCGAGCGACCGCTTGTGGGGCCAGTCAACGACGAGGCGGGCATGAACAAGCTGCAAAAGCAAAATCGCTGCCACGTACATCCAACGCATGAGTGCTTCTTGGCTGACGGCAAATCGACTTATGGTCATCTGCGTTGTTCGTGCACGGTCGGGCTCAGATGCGCAAACGATTGTGATTGGCTACCACGACGGCCTGCATTCTGCAAAGAGTGCACGTCTGATGTGCACGCGATGCCGCCTGTCCGACACTGCACCACAAATTGCTTGAACAAAAAACACGTGCATCGGCTCTAGAATATCCTAGTCGTTTAGTCGATGGCTTTAATCGACTCGAATCGAGTCTAGTTGCACGTAAACCCGGCACTGCGAAGCGCCTCCCGGCCATCATCCTTGCCGACAATCACGCGCTGCAGAATCGACGGCGACGCCAAGTACGTCTGTGCGACGCGGACAACATCGTCCTTAGTCGTTGCGAGGAGTTGGCTGCGGCGCGCTTGCAGCATATCGTGGGTAAAGCCGCGCGTGAAAAGGCCTTTGCCCTTGGCCGACGGCGCTTGAGGCGCGTCGATCGACGAAAAGAGGCCGAGCAGCGCCTCGTCGACGTCGCGGTGCGAGAAGGCGCCGGTCGCCGCAAACGTGGCCGCGCCATCGTACGCCTCGAGCGTCTGGAGCGTGTGCGGGTCGTAGTACGAGCTCATTTGAAACACGCCTTCGCCCTATAAGTATCAACATATCAACTGAAAAATCGATACATCGATACAATTGTACCTGCGACGCGCCGGCCCCGTATGCACCGCCCTTTTCGCGCACGTGTTGATGCAAGTAGCACGAAGAGAGCACCTACAACGGCATAGTAGTGTCATCTTCACTAAGGACAATGGTATCCACCTGCGCCAGGACCGTCAGCGGCACATGGTCCGGATGGAAGAGCGGCACGGTCGGAATCGCTTGGACGTTGAAATTGACCGAGAGGGGGTACCCAAAAAACGCATTGGGCGTCGCGTCCGGGAGTTGCGTCGGGGAAAACACGGATGCGACAGGCGCGACATCGTTCGCCTTTGGAAGGTGGGCGACAAGCGATCCCGCAATGGAGGCTTCGATCCCCGTCATCAGGTGCGGTTCGGTGACCACCGAGAGACGCATGGTGTCGGACTGGAAAATGTGCTGGGCAAGTGCACTCAGCGCGGCCGCAAACTGCAGCAGCATCGCCGGGTCGTCTTCGGTGGCCTTGAGCCAGGCTTGCATCGCATCGATTGCCGTTAGCCCATGCAATCTATTTTCATCATTTTTCATGATATTATAGACCAAATGTAAAAACGTACTGTTCATAGGGTGTCGAGACCGCCGTGAGACCGTACTGGGCACGGGTCGCCGCGAGCTGGTGCCCGCTCGACGCCACTGACGCGCTGGCCGCCGACGCGGTGCTCGTCAGCAGTGTCTTGAGCTGCTGCACGTTTTCGGGCGACGTAAATTGTGTGTCGGTAAAGATAGCCACAAGGCACGCGAGCGTCGCGTCGACCTTGTGCGGCAGACAGAGTGTCTCGACCAAGAGCGACTCGGTGTACGTCGCCGTCGTGTGCGTGTCTACAACAAGTGTCACCAAGATCTGGTGGCGGGTAAACTCAAATCTATACCCGGAACGAGCAACGTCGAGGCCGAGACACCGCCGCTGATCGACTGAACGGTGGTCGCGAGGTCCTGGAACGAGAGCTGGCTCGTGCCGAGTTGGCCGAGCACGGACGCAAAGAACGGCAAGTACGGCTTGAGCTCGGTCGGGACACGCGACGTGTCAAACTTGAGCCGAAAGTACCTACATGTCCCATAAAAATATGTAAAAATATTGGACAACTTGTCTGTTTGTGTACGTGAGTTCATTGGTCGACTGCGGCACGAATTGAATGTTGACGCCGCGCGTCTCGGTCGTCAACTTGGGGTGCTGCAGCGGAATGTCTTGCAGCGTCAACGTCGGGAGGCAGTCGACGTCCGGCACCT